CCGCATTCGGCAACCATCCAACACGCCCCCCAAGGTCGGCGGATTACTCGTACCACCACCTCAAAAACCCGCCCCCCGATCCTCGAGTTTCTTGACAAGGATGCGGGGGGCCAAGGGTCCCCAAACTTAGGGCTCCCCCTAAGAAGGTATACAGTATGTCGAGCCTTGCCCCCCACCCCCCATTCGCCGAACAAAAGGCCCATGCTGATATGAAGCCACAGAAATTCCCAGCTTTGGGTTACCTGTGTAGTTATCACCCACTAAGCAGCTGCAAGCCCTAAACCCCAAACCCTAAACCCAGAAGCACTAAATCCTAAACCCCAATCCTGATCCCCGAAGCATCGGCGAAGTTAGAAGTGATCGGTTAGCGTGGACCTTCCAGGCAAAAAGAAGGCCGCACCCCGGCGAACCCTGCAGGCCCTACACATCAGGGTATAGAGTTTGAAGCGTTTGGAACATATAGGGCTTGAGTCTGGGAGTCTCGGACTTGGGTTTTCAGATGAAGGCTCCTGGGCTTGGCTTAGCTAAGGTTTTGGGGTTAAGAATTTGGGTCCTACACCATATACCTTTAAAGGCAAAGTTCCCAGACCCCTAAGGCAAGGTAACGCCTCACAACCCCCTAAACCCTAAACCCAAGCCCTAAACCCTTAAACCCACCGCCACTCTGTCACAAGGCGTGCGCCCGCAGAGGCCGCCGCGCGAACGACGCAGACGCAAGCAGGCCGACCGTCTGTTCAGGAAGAAGGGTTTAGGGTTTAGGGATTAGGGTTTAGGGTTCAGGGTTTAGGGCTTTATGGGCTTTACCTACTGAATGTAGGTAGTTGGGGTGTCAGGCAGTGTTTCATGCTTATAGGATTTAGGGATTAGGGCTATGGGTTTATGGGTTGGGGGCTGATATGATTTGGGGCTTAGGGCCTGTAGGATGAGGGTACAGGACCTTTAGCTTAGAGTTTACCTGACATCCGTGTGACTCAGGATAATCTTCAACCTTGTCCCCACTAGCCGCAGCTGTGTGTACCCTAAACCCTACACCCTAAACTCTCAACCTCGAAGGGTCCAAGGACCCAAATAAAAGGGCTTGAGAGCCCAAACACCACTCATGTTGTAGTATTTGGGCCCTGAAACCCTATTATTTGTGTATTCTGATTGTCATTATTTTTTTATATCACTCTATTACTACTCTTATGACTAGGACTATGAGTGATAATGCGCATATTAATAGTGAGGACGCGCTGGACCACGCCTGGAGCTCTTCGGAAGGGGCACCTGATAGAGAAGCTGGAAAAGGGAAGCTCCCCAGCAGTTGCCCCCTGTGGGGAAAGAGATGCAAACGGCTGGTTTGCAGGCCTTGAGGGGTTATGCAGGGGTTCACTGATTTTGAAGAATCAGTGTCTTCTGTAGACACAGTGCGTGAAACCACATCAGGAACATGATTCTCCAAAGTATTGCGCAAACCCAAAACTCCCTAAACCCCCCAAATCCTACGCCGACGCACTTAGATAGGCTGCGCGCTATTCAGGGTTAGTAACTCGTATTTGAACCCCTTCTAACTAGGTTTACTGACCATTTAGCGACTTCCCATTCCCTTTCCAGTTCCCTAAGCCCTGAGCCCTAAATCTTAAACCTTAAACGGTACGTCCTGAACCCTTGACCCTAAACCCTGAATAGTACTTTTGCATGTTCTCTCCGATTATTGCTACATAACCCCATCTATCCAACTAGGTGGGCACTAAATCCTGAACCCAAGAGCCTATAAACCCCAAACCCTAAGCCTGAAACCCCTAAACTCTAAACCCGAACTCCTACACGCTAAAGGCCATAACTCGTCCTCGGTGGGCATCGGTGCGGCGAACGTGGCCGCCGCGCTCGCGGCGGCAGCGCACTGTGGAGAAGATTTGAGGCGGTTTTAGAGTTGAAGGTTGGGTTCCGGGCTCATTTATATCATTAACCAACAAGAGACAGGGTACCATTATTGTAGTACGGTTACCGGTCAACCAAAGAAATATATGTTTAAAGGGGTACAAAGGGCCAAGGGCTGGAAATTATTTTTAGGGCCCAATGGTAGACCCGCAAGGGTTTGCCGGCACCTAAGCTCGATATATGAGCTATAGTCTCAACTCCTTATAGGGGGGTAGATAGGGGAGTCTCTATGGGGCTTATGAAGGGGGATACTAGGAGTTTAGACTATAACTTATATGAACCTTTAACCCTAGACCCTACACTCTAAGCCCTAAACCCTTATGTGTTTTTGAGCCCTTGAAGTAGGGGCATGAAGTATAGGGGATTGGGTTTAAGGCCCTGGAACCCTAATCCTTAAATCCCAACCGTAATCCCTAAAGCCTAATCCCTAAAGTTTAGGGACTAGGTTTCAGGATTTCAATTAGGAGTTCATCACCTAGGAGTCAGTACTTGGGCCTTGAGTAGGATACGTTCCATCCTTTAATTTCCCTTGGCTGACAGGTTTCCGTTCTGCTCAAGCCCAGCGGTAGAGCCCCAAGGGTTTACGGTACACCAGGGTTTGGGTTTGAGGGTTTAGGGTTTAAGGTTTGGGGTTTAGGGTTTAGGGTTTGGGGTTTGGGGTTCAGTTTTTTGGGTTTGGGATTTCGATTTCTCTGGCAAATGAGTGGCTGCGGCTGGTCTCCGTGTTTCAGGTTTGATTCCCCAGTGCCCCTGAACGCTGAACGTAGGATTTAGGGGTTCAGGGTTTAGGGTTTAACGGAGGGAAATAACCATTTGAGATGGTAAGGATCCTTACAAGGCCTATTTGGAAATGCTACCGCCTGGGGATGGATCCTAAGATCACGCTCTCAGATTATTCGGCTTCGCTGCTATATGAGCTATAGTCTAAATAAACTCCCCAAAGGGGGTTATATAGGGGATTATAAGGGACTACTATAGGGCTTATTAGGGGGGATACTAGGAGTTTAGACTAAAGCTCATGTGATTAGTTATGCAATTTGGAGTTTCATGCGGAGTTATACGTATCTTCGACTTGATTCCAAGTGCCTCTACTCCCACCCTGTCGGCAAATTGTGAACCTCCAAATACCTTGTTGGGACGCGCCGCTTTCGTGTGATTTCTCAGAATCTGA